AAGAAAAACTGAACAAATTGCATTTGCTGAATCTAAAGAGAGGGTGACACAATAAATCTCCAAGTACATAAAAGGCAGCAGCACAAGGGGAAGGTACAGATGGCCCTTTCCACACACAAGGGAGTAAAGGAGTTTTTCAGACCCTGCGCTATGTTTTTGTGATCTACGGGCTGTTAATACTAAAATGTGATCTTTCCGTATCAGGAAGATGTTAAAGTGTTAAAATCTCTTATTCAGGCTGAAATAGCTACATGGAGTTGTAGTCCATAATTCTTACAGACCAGCAGACAGGAACTGAAAATATCCGTTTAAAAGTGGGACCAAATATAATAAAATCTCCCGGACCAAAACAAAGGCATTATCAACATCCTGACATCAAGTACGAGGACTGAAGTGCATATAAGCCCTGTCAAATAAATATATTCTAATACTAACATTTATTAATATATATATGCCCACTGGATAAATTAAGTAGGCATTTGATGGGTTTGATATTTTCCTATTCAAATCTATGAAAATTAAAACTTCAAAAAATTACGAGAAAGAAGATGCCTGCAAAGAAAGCTCACCATCACACAAACAAGATGATGTTTTCCTTACCTTGAAATTTTACTGTTCTACGAAGGATACAGTGACAGTTTAATTACCCCAAAATAGCAAATAGCATAATGTTATAGAGCATAATTTTTAAATATAAAATTTTCAGTTATGCCTCACATACATTTCTTTGTAGCATTTTCTTGCCTATTTTCTTCATTCCACAAATGTTTGGGATTAAATTAGATTTTGCTACGCTCACAGTTCAACTTAATTTCCTGTTGGATCAAGCTGGGAAGAAACGACAGGACTTTGTTTAACAATAGTTCTCTGATAACATAAGTCTAATATGAAACTCCTGAAGGATCAAGCAGAACAGAGGGCGGCTGTTGTGGCAACTAAATTTTGATTCAGGCATACTAACCTAAACAACAGACAGGAAATACTAAGTGGCCAGATGACAGCTTTTGAAATACACAGTCATTCTGCTGCATGCACTATTTTTTAAGAAAAACCTGTTCAAATACAAAAGAAGCCTTCAAGTCTCAATTTGTAGTCCTCATTAATTCATGAGATGCAAACCGTGCAGAAGTACTGAATGCTGGATTTTAAAAAATATATATAATACCTAAATATTATATTTAACAGTTTTTAAAGTGGGTTTTTTTTTAAATCACTTGAAAATAATTGCCTTTTTTTTTTTCATTTTGATATAGCAGCAAAACTGAAATTTCCATTTTGGTTCAAGAATAATTCTTTTTCTTCTTCTTCTCCAGTTTTTGGTTTTACTAGCAAACAAGAAAGCAAACATGGGGTAGGGAGGAAGAAAGGTCTGAAAGCTTCAAGATTAAAGAAATCATAAAGAACATAAAACCCTAAACAAAACTCCAACCCAAAACCACATTAAAAAAGCTACCAGTTAAACATATTATTCTGGAGAAGAATTTCTCATGACTAAAAGCCTCCATTTCAGGCCAAACCCTGCAATTTTCTGTAACTGCTAGTTTCACTTACTTGGGGAGTCTGGATTCTTTGAAGACTGTGCTTTCACATCAGGAATTGCAACATCTTCTTGCTCCCTGTTCCCATCTGACAATCCATCTTCATTATTTTCAGTCTGTTGGGTCCAAATCTCATTAGTTATGTTGCTGTTATTTGGGTTAGGAGCTTCCAGCATTTGGTCCTTCTTACTTTGGACAGCCCAATGCATTGACTAAAGAAATGTAAAAATACCGAAGAACTAATTCCTTTGCTTTAAAAGACTTTTAATGAACTTCTCTTTTCGTTCTTACATTGCTGTAATAAATGGTTAAACAAAGCACGTATTAGAAGCTTGCAGGTCAATAGCAAAAGGGAAATCAGGGTACTTATTGCAAATAGCATTTGAGAGGCCAGTTTATGTCAGGGGGAGCTGACAAACAAAATGTATAAGTGCATCAAATAATTCTAAGGGTCTTTCGTCCAGTTTCTTCTGTTATGACTTCAGAGGCATTTTTAAGAGAGCTTGAGTGACCTAGAAAATACCCATTTTCAAAGGTGTCTTTGACTTCAAGGTGCCCTTTGAAAGCAAGACAATTTGGAAAGATTTACCATTTAAGTCTGTCAAATGGCTTCTGTTTGGAACTGAACTAAGCTTGATGGGATACTTCTGTGTCCTGGGTTACAGTGTAAAATGTG